AATTTAATTTAATTTAATTTTTTTTAATTTTTTTTTTATTTATTCATTCATTCATTCTTTCTTTCTTTCTTTTCATTTTATTTTTTATTCCTGAATTTCTTTGGGAGAAATAAAAATAGTTGCAAATTAGACAGTTATTAACAAAGAAAGGGTATTATCTATGAAATTAATATAGATAGTATAGCTTGGATCATTTGTTCTTGCAATAATTTGAGTTAATATTGAGAAGACTTTTGATTGCAGATTTCTTGTACAATATCTTGAGCACAAATCTGAGTTCGTGGCATTATTGAGAGATTACTGGGTTTTATGCTCCAGAGAATACCCTGAAAAGCAGTAGACATGAGCTAAAGTCTCCATTTGCCTCATTGTACTCTAGGAGAATCTATCCAGACAAAATGGATTTCCCTTGTGATTTTCTTTTCCACAGCAGGCACCTTTTCATAATCCGCAGCCACTTTGGGCTCCATTTTTGCTGTATTTTTCTCAGTATAGCAACATACTGCTTTGTAGTCGTGCTGTGTTTTTTTCTGTTACTAAAAATAGCTCACAGCACTGTGCGTTTCTGAGCGAGAGAGAGAAAGAGAGAGAGAGAGGGAGAGAAGTGATCTGTCTGCGGAACAAAAGGAAATCCTCGGAGTGATGTCACTCACAAACACCTCCCGGTGAAGGGCTGCAGTCAAAAGCGGAGAGCGAGTGAAAGATACTGGAGGACAGAGGCACAGCGAGTGATGAGGGATGATGGGAAGAGGTGAACGCTAGCCTGCTCTCCTTAATGGCTTGCTTCTGCTTGACTTGGCCAGCGGTCCGGAGGGAGTTGTAATGGAGAGCAGCATTCAGCCTAAACCCATGCGACGTCTTTAAGACGGCCACTTGGTATGCAGGAATTGTTCTTTATTCGTCCATCGAAATTTGTGCTTGTGTGTTGCGCCATGTGGAAGCGCTCAGTGTGGCGGTGCATGTGACATTGCATGTGTCTCCGGTGGGCTGTTCCTTGAGCGGTGGAGGGCTCTGCAGCGGTTGGGCAGGGCGAGAGCAAGCGGGAGAAACCAGGCTTAACAAACACACTCACTGGCATCAGCTCACAGAAGCAGCAGTGCAGTTGAGAGCGGATCGCTGGTGAGTGCACTACACACACACACACACACGCATGGCATGTGCATGAATACTGTATCCCGATGAGTGTGTCTAACAGTGTCGCATGACATCTGGGTTCTGCTCGCTACCAGAATGGAAACTTGTCTTTAGATTCTGGCTGAGCTCTCTGTGAGACATTGCCTGCTTGGGTTTCTGAGCATGTAAGAGGAAAGGCAGGACGCTGCACCTTGAGGTACACGTGAGCGAGGCAAAGCTTCCAGCAGCAAGTGCTTTTCATCGCCAGCTCTCGAGAGCAAGATTCCATTATCCTCTATTGGCACCGGCTAGAGCTTTTAAGGAGCTGCACACAAATGGATTTGTTATTTTGTGTTTATGCTGCTTAGTTTTGATGGCGCAGACTGATGCATCTCGTATCGTGAGATGGTACGGAATTGCAAGAAGCTTCAGTGCAGCATTTAAATGAGTTGTCATTTTCTGTATGTTTGCATGTGCGTACTTGACGCAAAACTTGTTCACGGAATTTTTAAAATCAGATTTTAGGTTAAAATTTGCATGAACGTATAAGGGGAAAATCTGTATCTTAGGTCCATTTTTAATCAACTTTTTTCCTTCAATACAATAATGATGTAGGATTTCGTTTGAAACCATTTTCACTCTAGTAATTACAGCAAACACACTGAATTAAACACAAAATGTTGAAGTAAAAACACTAAAACAGTATTTTATTTTAAAACATACTCCTGGAATTTATCAAATTTTTACAGTGTAGTTTAAATGGTAGTGTGAAAATGTTCTATTAATTTCCTTTTATATTTGTAATATTTAATTTTGATTATGTATTTTTAATTTTAAAAGTCTTTTCCACATACTTTCTAGAAGTGTTCATTTAGTCTCTATTTATTGTTCTATGTAGCCTAATAATGAAAATAGTGTTTAAAAAGTTCTAGATGGAATTTGAGGACATTGAGCTTCTTTTAAAAAGACAAAGCAGAATACTCTGTCAGTATCATTTTGACAGCCCTTTGTAAACAGTTAAATCAGTGTGAGACACTTTATCCGTGATGTTCTGACTAATGTAGCTTATTTAATGATGAATAATCTTATAAAGTCAGGTACAGCACCAGATCAATACAGGAACAATGATAATGAAATCTACAAGATAAAAGCAAATTGATATTGGAAATATTATTATAAAATGACATTGTTGATTCGCCACTAATGATCTTTCGTAAGAAAAATGGGCCTGACACGCCTGAGATTAAAGTCCATAAATAGAACGAGCTAGATCTAATGAAATAATAATCAGTTTTGTCCAGAGGGAATCCACCGGCTCACTAATGTGAAATAATGTAGACTTCAAGGGGTACGTAGAGGAAGCGCTTTAATTAAATGCAGTATATCTTTCCTGTGGTATGAAAACACTGCAAACTGACAGAGATAATGGATTCTGTATTGACTGTAGTTAACCTTGATGGAGCAGGTGCTTCTAACGTGTAACAGGGATCAGACAGCTAAATACTATGCCACACAGTTTTCCTTTATTAATGATGGATTACCTTAGCTGACAATACTGTATATATATATATATATATATATATATACACACCACAGTTCATTTTTTATGTTTTTGGAAGAAGTGTCTTATGCTTACCAAGGCTGTGTGTATTTGATGAAAAATACAGTAAAACTGTAATATTGCGAAATATTATTACAATTTAAAAGAACTGTTTTTATATTGGTGTATTTTAACATGTAATTTATTCCCGTGATGCAAAGCTGAATTTTCAGCATCATTACTCCAGTCTTCAGTGTCACATGATCCTTCAGAAATCACTGTAATATTCTGGTTTGCTGCTCAAGAAACATTTATTATTATCAATGTTGAAAACAGTTGTGCTGCTTCATATTTTCATGGAAACCGTGATCCAATTTTGATGAATAAAAAAAGTTAAAAAACAGCTTTATTTCGAAATGCTGAAAAAAAGTATTAATTGTGTACTGTATATACATAGAACTGTATTATATCTATGTGTATAGATAAAATGAGGACATTTCATCAGTAGGATTTTGTTTAATTCTTAGTGTAATCTAGGAGGATTTTCATTTAATCATTTTAGGATTATTTAAAACAAATTATTGTAACCTTAACTATTGTAACTGTTACCTTAAAGAGATATTCCTACCTTATCTGACATTTAAAATTATTTTTGCTGTAACCAAATGTACTGCTGTCATATTAGTTAAATAATATATTTACATTGCCTCACAAAAAAAATGCTATTCAAAATAATACAAATAATAATAAATAAATTAATAATAATGTATGATTCATTCATTTAGTACTGGGTTTGTGGTTTTGAAATTATTTTATAGCACCAAAAAAATAAATAATAATAATTAGATGGCATTGATATCTTGCTGATCATGAGGAGCTTTTCATCAAATCCAGTGGTGTTTTCTCCCAGAGCTTCAATGAAGGTTTGATCTATTGACTCTAGAATGTAATATAGTGTTATTGATTAGGTCAGACATTAAATAAAGCAGCATTTGTCTCACACGGATGCTCTCTTAGAAGTCTCTGTGTCTCCGCTGCCCTTTCCTGAGTATTGAACTGGAACGGCTTCACTTTCCCCAGACAACAGTCAGCCCCCTCAGTCAATGGGGACTATCTCATTGGTCTGAGAGCCATTCTTTACCTCACTGCTGCTTTTTCAAGTGCCACTTCTTTGACCAGTTTCTACCAAAATGGTGCTGGTTCTCAATTTGGTGGTTTTGCTGGTTCTCCAACCTACATTTCCATTGACTGACAGTTACTATGTAACTTGGCCACAAACATACACAAACAAACAGTCCTGCAGAGTAGCAATTTGCAAATTATATATATATTTTTAAAAATCAACTATTTGGGGGTTTGGCTGAACAACTAGTCAAATTTTTTAACTGGAAACCCCATATAATTAGGCTGGTTTCAGGTTGTTTTCTGGTTCCTGATCCCAAACTGGCATGTTTCATAGGGGGTGTTTATGTAGAAAGCACTCATGTGATCAAAAACATCAGAGTGCACAGAACAGATTGAAGGGATCTTGATATTTGTTTAAACCAATCAGCAAAATCAGCAAAAGTTAAGAAATGTCTCTATTTGACTATTTAAATAGTGTAATAAATAGAGCCCGACCGATATATCGTTTTGCCGATATTATCGGCCGATATGAGCCTGTCGCCGATATATCGGTATCGGCTAATATGCCGCCGATATGAATTTTTTTTTTTACAGAACATACAGTATAATGCAGATAAAATGCATGAAATGGTGTAATTACTTAGTTTGTCCAGCAGAGCGCGCTCCATTGTTTGCTACTGGCGACCTGGATGAAACGCTTTAAAGCTTAAGTCTATGGAAAACCATTGAAACTTTGAACGGCCATATCTCCGTAACGAATCCGCACCAAATTCGGTGATCCCTTCAGCTCGAGGAACCCTCTCGAACGCGAATGGAGTGTACGTCTAGAGGCCCGCTTTCGAATGAGACCACCCCCGCGTTGATAGCCCCCGGGGTTCGGGAGTTACGGTTTGGTTAAATTTGCAGACCGGCGCCGACCGATAAAGCGATCCCGGGGGGCTACCGACGCGCGGAGGGTGGCGTTCGAGAGGGCTCCTCGAGCTGAAGGGATCCCCCGAATTTGGTGGAGATCCGCCGGCGCGTTCGCGAGATAGTGACACCAATCAACACTTTCACTTCAGTAAGGAGGTCTCTTGTTCAGGCAGCAGCATTCAAGCGTTGGCTTATTCGACCGTAAGTGCCCTGCGAAGTGGACTTCACATGACATTCCGCCATGATTCCAGTTCCAAGGGAACGTACACGTTACATTCAAAGGGCATTAAAGTGCGCGAGACGTGAATTTATATTGTATTTATTTAGAGAGGTATATTACGTCACACTTCACACTTCTCTAGTAAGTTTCGTCTGTGTGTGAAGACAGTAGCACAAATCCATGAATGAATGTTTCGAAGTGAAATAAACTTCAACGGAATAAAGTTGAATGGAATTGAATTGAATTAAAGTTAAATAAACTTCAACTTTACTGTTCAGTGCACTAATGTCATTCATTTTGGATAATAAAGTTTATTGTTAAATTGTTAAATGCCGTGCCTCCATTACGTATCTCTGTCACATCATTATTTACATAAGTGTTTGATCACCACAATGAGTGATCATTGTGTTTATTCAAGTTTATTTGTATAGTGCTTTTCACAATACAAATTGTTTCAAAGCAACTTTACAGCAAATTAGGTTTCTACAATATTTAGTAGTAGCTTATCAGTGGTGACTGTCAGTTAATGTATGGAAAAATCTATTAAAGACGTAATCAAACAGACGATGAACACTATTAACAGCCATTATTATATGATGCAATCAAACTTATAGCAAAATTTGGTAGTTCTGTATGTTGTTTCATGGTTGTTTATGTATATATATTCTGTTTATACTGTATTCTATATATAGTACCAGTCAAATGTTTGGACACACGAATCTGAAAGTGTCCAAACTTTTGACTGTTACTGTACTATAATATACACAAAGAATATCGGCCAATATATCGATATCCTCCCTAATATCGGTATTGGCCCCAAAAAAACCATATCGGTCGGGCTCTAGTAATAAATGTTCATATCAAACATTATTTTAAGTACAATGTATTCATTTTAATACCACTTAATTAAAAAGTACATATAGATTGCTATATCAATGAGAAAACAATGTAGAAAAAAGTCATAAAATCAAAACTTCAGGGCATGAAAGTCTTTCCCCATAACATAGAAATAAAAAATAGATGTCAAGTACTAACTTTGCAAATAGATGAATTTAAGAATTGTGTCAGCCAACCGATGCCATTTTGTTTGCCACCACAAACTGTGGCAGTGTTATTTTAATATTATTATGATACTACTACAGATTGTATTCATATTTTTAATTAGTATATTTATTTTTTGGCTTTTTTATGTCTAGATTGTTTTTGTTT